TATAGAAAGCTGATTTCAAAGCAGCTCATAAACATTATTGCTTCTATGTATCTCTATAAAGAAAAGCATTTTGGTTGGGAGTGGTGGCTCATGTCTTTACGACCCTGTCTCAAAAAAAAAAAAAAAAAAAAAAAAAGCAGCAGCAGCAATTTTAGCCTAGGAGGGACCCACAATGATACTTAATATTACTCTATCAAATTTCTTGCACAAAAATGCACATAAAATACAATTCTCATATGCTATCATCGACTACTACTTTTTATACTGTATCACAAAATTTTTCAAAACATTTTAATTGCCAAAAACTTTAAATAAATATGTTCTATATATCAATGTAATTGAGCAGCTTGTTAATGGTCCAGAAAAGTCTGAAAGTGATAATTAAAATTAAAGGTTGACATAATTAGATAAACCTGAATGAGAGAAATAATTTGTGGAGTTCCTATCAGCAATTTGCTCTCCACTGGTAACACAGACCTGGCTGTCATAGCCATTGAAGTTGTGAGGAGGGAAATGCAAAATCAAACACAAACAGAATGTCATAAATCCAAAAAGGCTGGGCACTGATGCATTAGAGTAAGCTACAATGGAGATAGATTCTGGGCAGCATCCCAATCCTACATTATCTAATTTACTCCTGAGTCCCTTAGAAGCAAAGCTGGGTAAAAAGACAAAACAGGATGTGTGCCACTTTCATTCTCACTTCTGTCCCAGTATTAAAAATAATTACTAATGGAATAAGATAAGCAAAATGTGAGCTTTCTGTCTTTTATTAAGAGTTATTGTGTATTACCCCAAGCATTTCAAATACTAGATTATTTATTTCATTATTCAGGCAACAGAAAATTAACTCAGAAAAGTAAAGTTCCTACATATGAAACACAAGACTGAGTTTCTCATTTCATGGGAAAAGATGACAGAAAAAAATGGAAAAGGCTCAAATTACTTGTAAGGTCTGGAAAAGGTGACCTCAGTGTCAACCACATTCCTCTTACAGGCTTCTATGACCCAATCTCTTTTTTGGAGCGGATGGGGTCTCGCTCTGTCACCTAGCCTTGACTTCCCTGGGCTCATGCAATCCTCCCACTTGAGCTTCCCACCTCGCTGGGACCACAGGTACATGCCACTATATCTTAATTATTTAATTATTTGTAGAGATGAAGTAGGTTTAGCTATGTTGTCCAGGCTGGTTTCCAATTCCTGGGCTCAAGCAATCCTAACACTTCAGCCATCCAAAGTGCTGGGATTACAGGTGTGAGCCACTATGCCTGAGCAACCCAATCTCTTTAAACCTCACTCTCTAAAATACATTAAATCCAGGCATCATTTATTTTTATTTATTTTTGAGACAGGGTCTCGCTGTCACCCAGGTTGGAGTTCCGTGGTGCAATCATGGCTCATTGCAGCTTTGACCTCCCCAGACTCAAGCGATCGTCCCACCTCAGGCCTCCTGAGTAGCTGGGACTACAGACGAGTCACCACGCCCAGCTAATTTTTAAATTATTTGTAAAGAGCAGGCCTGGCTATGTTGTCCAGGCTGGTCTCCAACTCCTGGATTCAAATGATTTTCCCGCCTCAGCCTCCCAAAATGCTGGGATTACAGGCATAAGCTACCACGCCCAGCCAGGCATCACATTTTAAATTCTCTAACCTGACTGTTAACATAAAGTTAAATTCTCTGATTATTTAACAACTCTAAACAGTAACTCTGCCTAAAATGTCAGTTTTGGCTGACAGGTTTTGTGGGCACACCATAAGCCTAACTTCTTATGATGTAGGTTTTGATATTCTAACGATTAGAGCTGAATTTGTTCATCTGGTTTTGTGGCTAAGAGGGTCATCTGAAGCTTAAGAAACTGATTACATGTAAAGATAATCCTGTACATTTTCTCAGCATATGGTAACATCACTGCTGATCAATTTTTTTATGAATATCAAAACTGTCCCAGCACTAACAGCTCAATTTGTTGTCTGAGGATCTCTGACACTACCATTTCCCCATGGTGGTAAATACACTTTTAATAGCCAAGACAGTGGAAAGGCACAGTTTCAGAGGAGAATAATATGGTACTGTAAGAGTTTTCTACACAAAACTCTTGATTTCCATAACTGGGATTGAAAATTATTCACACACACACAAATCAGAGGTATAACTGTCTCAAGAAGTTTAATCTTCCCTTTGTCCTCGACAAGAAACTAATAAAAGAAACATCCAGGAGGATGAAAAATTTCTGAACCCAGTGACAACACTCCGTAACATCTACGTAGAATTCAAAATCGCTAAGCAACAGTCTTGGAAAGCAGACACAAATGAGTCTTTAGAATGTAGTGTTCCAACTAGTAACTAGCTCATCAATAGCTGAAACATACAAATAAAAGCTTTAAGACTTCATAGCTTTCTTTCATAAAAATTTTTTAAAAGCTTTCATAAAAATCATAAAAATATTTCATAAACCATAATTCACTTAAAGGATCAAATTCTTAGACTTAACCAGACATTAATAGATATCTCACACTCCAAGCATTTTATCCCAGGGGCTCTAACATGCCCACTACAAACTGGGATACATGCTAAAACTACAAAAGGAAGGAACAGTAGAAATAATGGTAACAACATAATACCCCATGTAATGTGTTTCCAAATCCTTTCCCATTCATTACAGTCTAAATAAAGTCTTTAATTTTTAAAAAATGAGAAATCAGTATCTTACATTACAGTACCTTTGCAAAGCTCTCTCAAATCTATTTTGACTCTAATTGTGTTTCTGAATAAAAATAACAGAAAGGTGTTCAAATAAATCTGTATCCTCTGCACAGCACCTCTGCACACCTACAGAATAATTTCCTACACTCTATAACTTACCACACCATTATTGTTGGAGCTTTCCATAAACAATACATTTCAATTCTATTCTTAAAATACTATTTCTCTCATGGGTGAGTATCCTTGATACCACAAAAGTATAGAGACTGGTACTTCTACTTACATCAGAAAAAATATCTGATTATAAATTAGATTATAAATTATTTATTTTAAATCCATGAATTCAAAATTTTATTGTTCACCAATTATTTTCTGTGAAAGCAAGAAAGCAAGTAGAGCTGACCCACCAGTATAGATCCTAACATGGTAAAGAGATGGTTAAAGGGAAAAGAAAGCACGCGTTTATCAGAGTTTGCAGTCATTTTATGAAGATGCGGTGATTAATGTTTCTGAGCAAAGCATGCATTTAATTTTAACTAAATAGGTAGTGAGCATCTAGATCCTTGTCTTCCTGAAATGTCTTCCCCTTTCTTTAGTTAAAATAACCTCACCTCTTCTTGTGACTCCATCCCCATTCTATATGGTCTTTATGGAAATGTCAATTGACGCAATCCTACACACACACACACACACACACACACACACACACACACACACACACCTCTAAAGGGTAGGCAAATTACTCAATCATATGCTCAGTCCAGGAAATTCAGATCTTATGACAGGAGAATTAAACCAGTTGGTGCAGTCTTTGAAACCATGGTGAACCAAACAAATATCTATTAGATGGTTTCTGAAGCTTAGATCCTCTGAGCTCAGCCTTCAAAGTCTAGTTGTTCAGCATCTTCTGTGCCTATACTATTTCTAAGTACTATGCCTATGGTTATGTAACCTATCTTTTTCACTCAATAATATATCATGGGTATCTTTCCAGATTGGTTAGTATAAATGAATGTCATCACTTTCAATGGCTGCATGCAAGGAAGGTGATATAATTATTTAAATCAATTCCTTATTTAAGGTTATTTCCTATTCTTTACTATGCACATATATCTGTTCTAACATTTCCTACTATTTCTTCAGGATAAATTCCTACTTAATGTGGACTTTCTGGATAGAAGATTATACACATTTTGCATTGTGATACCTAACAGCAGCTATCTGGAATGAGTGCATCAATGTCTACTTAGACTATCCGAGAGTCTATATATACCTCCCTTCGTCTGCACCAGCACCGAGAATTGCCATCAACCTTATTATTCCCATTCCACACTGGAAGATGCCCAAATATTAAGATTACCAAGAAAAGGAACAGCAGAAGTCATCATCACACCATACTTTATATTAAACTTTACCAAATCATTTCAAATCCATAAAGATCTAAATTGTGTCTAGGCTGGCTACGATGGCTCACACCTGTAACCCTAACACTTCGGGAGGCCAAGTCAGGAGAATCCCTTAAGCCCAGGAGTTCAAGACCAGCCTGGGCAACATAGTGAGACCTCATCTTTACAAAAAGTTTTAGTTGACCAGGTGTGGTGATATGTGCCTGTAGTCTCAGCTACTCAGGAGGTTACGGGAGGAGGACTGCTTGAACCTAGGAGGTCAAGGCTGCAGTAACCATAATTGCAGCACTGCACTCCAGCCTGGATGACAAAGTGAGACCCAGTCTCCAAAACAATTTAAAAATTGTGCCTAAATTATATTGCCAACATAATCATTGAAAAATGCTGTCGGGCTGGGCATGGTGGCTCACACCTGTAATCCCAGAACTTTGGGAGGCTCAGGCGGGAGGATCACGAGGTCAGTAGTTCGAGACCAGCCTGACCAACATGGTGAAACCCCCGCCTCTACTAAAAATACAAAAATTGGCTGGGCGTGGTGGTGTACGCCTGTAGTCCTAGGTACTCAGGAGGCTGAGGCAGAAGAATTGCTCAAACCTGGGAGGCAGAGGTTGCAGTGAGCCAAGATAGCGCCATTGCAGTCCAGCCTGGGTGACAGAGAAAGACTCTGTCCCAAAAAAAAAAAAAAAAGAAAAATGCTATCTTAATCTGCTCAGACTGCCATAAAACCATAGACTGAGTAGCTTAAAAAACAGAAATGTATTTTATATTTATGTTTTTAGTGTTTTTTTTAATTTAAATAAAAAATAAATAGAGACAAGGTCTCGCTATGTTGCCCAGACTGGTCTCGAACTCCTGGGCTCAGGTGATCCTCTCACTTCAGCCTCTCAAAGTGCTAGGAAAGAGGAGACGAAAACAAACCTTTCAGCAAATGTTGCAGCTGAAAGCAACTGGGAAAAAGTGGCTCCAGAGAACTCGGGCCTTCAAGAAGGCACACATAAGCTGTGCCACAACACTGCATGTGCACTGATAGGCCAAGGCCAGCTGAACCAGGCCATAAAAATTCTGCAAAAAGCTGAAGACCTTTGCTGCACTGCTCATTATCAGAAGACGCTGAGGGGACTGAGGAAGACCCACAGGCAGAACTGGCCATCATTTATGGTCAGATGACTTATATTCTGCAGCTTCAGGGTCGAACAGAGGAGGCCTTGCAACTTTATAATCAAATAATAAAACTAAAACCAACAGATGTGGGATTACTAGCTGTAGTTGCAAACAACATCATTACCATTAACAAGGATTAAAATGTCTTTAACTCCAAGAAAAAAATGAAATTAACCAATGTGGAAGGAGTAGAGTTTAAGCTTTCCAAGAAACAACTACATGCTATAGAATTTAACAAAGCTTTACTTGCTATGAACACAAACCAGGCAGAACAATGCTGCAAAATATCTGCCAGTTTACAGTCCCAAAGTCTGGAGCATCTCTTACCTGTGTTAATTCAAGCTGCCCAGTATTATTGTGAAAAGCAGCACACAAAAGCAATAGAGCTGCTCCAGGAATTTTCAGATCAACGTCCAGAAAATGCAGCTGAAATTAAGCTGACCATGGCACGGCTGAAAATTTCTCAAGGTAGTATTTCTAAAGCATGTCTAATATTGAGAAGCACAGAGGAGTTAAAGCATGAGCCAGGCATCGTGTCTGTACTAGTGACCATGTATAGCATGAAGAAGATATTGATAGTGCCACTGAGGTCTTCTCATAAGCTATCCAGTGGTATCAAAACCATCAGCCCAAATCTCCTGCTCATTTGTCCTTGGTAAGAGAAGCTGCAAACTTCAAACTCAAATATGGGTGGAAGAGGGAGGCAATTAGTGACCTAGAACAGCTATGGAAACAAAATCCAAAAGATATTCACACCTTGGCACAGCTTATTTCTGCTTACTCACTTGTAGATCCAGAGAAAGCCAAAGCTCCTAGTAAACACTCGCCATTGTCAGACAGTACGTCTCTAAAAGCAGATGCTGAAGCTCTTGAAAATTCTCCTGGTGCTACGTACATCCTGAAGAAGGGTGGAAAAGTTACTGGAGATAGACAACCAAAGGAACAAGAACTGGGAGATCTGAAAAAGAATGGAAAACTGCCTAAGAATTATGACCCAGAAGTTACCCCAGATCCAGAAAGATGATTGCCAACATGAGAACGTTCTTTCTACTGGGAAAGAAAGACGGGTAAAAGGAAGGATCCGATTGGAAAAGGGACCCAGGGAGTAACTGCAGGAGCTTCATCTGAACTGGATGCCAGTAAAACTGTGAGCAGCCCACTCATCGCCCCCAAGACCTGGCAGCGCAGCCACAGTATCTGCCTCTATGAGTAACATCATACCCCAAGACACCAGAAACCTGCAGGGGCTCCAGCAACAAAAAAGAAACAGCAATAAAAAAAGAAGAAAGGTGGAAAAGATAGCTGGTGATGAGAATATTTTTGTTGCGGGCTGTTTTTAAACTAGTCTCAGTGACACTAGGAACATAACAAAGGTAACACAGCAAGTAGCACAGAACTGCTCCCTCTTCATCTCCATATTTTCATAAATAATTTCTTGTGTTTCAAATAGGGAAACATCTTTCTCAAAGTCTGCCTAGTGAGATATGGCCTACTGGTTGACTCACAGCTTTGTACAGATTATGGGAACTGAAAATAATTGGGCATTTACCCATCTTGGTATCTGTTGTATCCTCTATCTGCATGTGCTGATTTGATCTTTTTTCAGTTTCACAAACCTTATCTAAGGGTTCCCAGGATTTAAACAGAAACTACTTTTACTATTTCAGCTGGAGTCTGACAATACTTGTTTCTGTTTAAGTCCCACTTCAAATTGTGTCTTAGGAGAACTTAGGAGACTGAAAGTACATTCTTCTGAGCATTCCAAAATGTCTGCTTAGAAATAACATGAGATAAAGAGGGACATTCTTTATATATATATTATTGCGTTTTGGGGTACATGTAAAGAACATGCAAGATTGTTGCATAGGTACACACATGGCAATGTGGTTTGCTGCCTTCCTCCCCATCACCTATATCTGGCCTTTCTCCCCATGTTATCCCTCCCCAACTACCCACCCCCTGCTGTCCCTCCCCTAGTTCCCCAGTGTGTGATGCTCCAAGAGGGACATCACAGACCCCAGTGAGTGATGCTCCAAGAGGGACATTCGTAATACACTGATGTTCTTCACTTAATTAAATGAATGACCACAAGAAAAAATTTCCATGATAAACAGTTGAAATGTAAAGAAAAAAAGATCTGTTCATGTCCTTTAGCCCATTTTTCTAATGAACTGTTCATCTTTTTCTTATTGATTTTTATAGCTCTATGTAAATTGAGATGCTTAATATATGCTGCACATATTTTTCCAGTTTGTCATTTGTCTTTTTGCTCACACCATTCTTTACTATACAGACAATGAAAATAATGTATGCTGTAAAACCTGTTGTCAAATCTTTTACTTTATAGGTTTTCATTTGATGTTAAGCTTAGAAAGATTTTTCCCACACCAGAATTCTATGCACATTTATCTACATTTCCCTTTAAGAGGTATTGAATTTTAAAGGAGCCCTATATATGAATATACCTTTCCATTCAGCAAAATATACCACCACTATAACATTGCTGGGAAAAAAAAAACATCATCTGCTTCAGCTGCAATTTCAGAAAGATGTTCTATAATGTCATTATCCATATGGAAGGGAAGTGATGGGACCCAACAAGGACTTAACACACTTATTGGTTTTATCCCCCATGGGTCCTGTATTTTAAAGAGTTTCTATGCATTAAATAATAACTAATTTGTTTTCCTGTTTTAATAAAACAAATGTTCTATAACTTCTAGTCAGAGTTTATGATCAATGCCTTTTTGCTAAAATCAAGTACAAGGCTCCTGATCATCATGAAATACCACAGTTATAAACATTTAGTATACAAAAATCTAGAATGTTTGGCTGGGCATGGTGGGTCACGCCTGTAATCCCAGCACTTTGTGAGGCCAAGGCGGGTGGACCACAAGGTCAGGAGTTCGAGACTACCCTGGCCGAGATGGTGAAACCCCGTCTCTACAAAAAATTTTTTAAAAAATTAGCCGAGTGTGGTTGTACACGCCTGTAATCCCAGCTACTCGGGAGGCTGAGGCAGAAGAATTGCCTGAACCCAGGAGGTGGAGGCTGCAGTGAGCCAAGATCGTGCCACTGCACTCCAGCCTGGGCGACAGAGACTCCATCTCAAAAAGAAAAAAAAAAATCTAGAACATTTATCAACAAAATGTAGTACATACATACAATGGAATATTATTCAGTTTTTAAAAGGATGGGAATTCATCTGGGTGTGGTAACTTATGCCTGTAAACTGAGCACTTTGGGAGGCCTAGGTGGGAGGACTCCTTGAACCCAAGAGTTCGAGACCAGCCTAGGCAACATAGTGAGACCTCGTCTCTATAAAACAATAAAAAGATGCAAATTCTAACACTTGGTCTAACATGGATGAACCTTAAGGACATCATGATAAGTGAAATAAGCCAGTCATGAAAGGGCAAATACTGTGTGATTCCACTTATATGAGGTACCTAGAGTAATCAAATTCATAGAGATAGAAAATGGAGGGGTTGGTTCCAGGAGCTTCAGGGAGGGGAAAACAAGTTGGGGTTTAACGAGTCTGGAGTCTCAGTTTGGGAAACTGAACAAAGTTCTGGAGAGTGGTGATGGCTGCATGACAACGTGAATGTACTTAATGCCACTGAACCATACACTTATAATTTAAGTTAGTTTTTTTTCTTTGAGACAGCATCTCACTGTGTCACCCACGGTGGAGTGCAGTAGTGCAACCTCTGTTCACTGCAGCTTTATGGCAACCTCAGCGTCCCGGGTTCAAGCAATTCTTTCGCCTCTGCCTCCCGGGTAGCTAGGATTACAGATGTGTGCCACAATGACTGGTTAATTTTTGTATTAATAGAGACAGGGTTTCACCACCATGTTGGCCAGGCTGGTCTTGAACTCCTGGCCTAAAGGAATCCATCTGCCTCAGCCTCCCAAAGTGCTGGGATTATAGGCATGAACCACCACACCCTGTCAGGCTAGTAAATTTTATGTTATTTACCACAAAAAAATTAGTATGTTTAGTATTTATAATAACTAACTTAACATTATCTCAGCCAAATTAAGAGAAATTTGACATTTTAATTACATATTCCATGCAGTCTCACTAAAGGCAAATGTACAATTTCTGTAAGGCTTTTGGTAATACTGAAATGCTTCACAGAATCCTAAACGGAAACCCCTGCAGTAACTGAATCACAGCATTTCATAAGAGGCTTTACTCAATTTTTAAAAGCATTTTACAAATCACATGCACGATTGAGCCACTCTCTATCCTCACTCTCTCTATCCAGGAGGGAGATTGTTAACTGATGTTGTAAATAAGTGAAACAGTTGAAGTAACATTCCCACCTAACTTAGCCATGCACATGGCAGCCACTTCACAAACCTTCCTCAATTCAGATCCTGGAATCTATAGCAAAATGAAAAAGAAAGCCTGGGCTTCACACTGTCCTATGAACTATCCAGTGAGAGGGCTGAAATTTGGCCTGAAGGAAGGCTGCTGTTTCTTGACCCTTATTTCATTACTCGAGATCTCAGCATCAATGTTGGACGATTCCACTTAAAGCAGGCTTCATGTCCCACACATTGCACCAAACTACCACTCTTGGAGCTACATATTCAAGGCTAAAAGGTAAATATGATATATAAACAAAAACTTTCTAAATGAAGAGGACCAGGACATTTTAAAACACACAATAGTAAATGCATAAGGTTATTTCTCAACCACCAGAACTAATCATGACTTTCTAATCATCTCCCATGTATGAAAGCTCCATTGTGTTGAAAACATTTTTCCCCATATTCCTCCAATTCAGTACTACAGACTTTAACTCTGGAAGTCAACACCTCCCCACATCATGTAAAAAACAAACCAAAAATTAAATAAATAAATAAACCTGCTACTTCTACAGCCCTAATACAGAGCTCTTAAAATTCTTAAAGGAAATTCACAGCTTCTAACAACTTTCATACAAATTAAGTACTATTCTTTAAATTGAGGAACTAAACATGAGATTTTCTATTCACAATTTATTCATATAATCACTTCCATGCCAGTTACCTATCAAGGACTTAACTACAAGACAGGACACTTATGACTCTTCCATTCAGAACGTGGCTGTCACTGTACAACGCGAGATGAGTGTCCCCATGGCCTCTGTGGATTGCAGTGTGGCTATGTGCAAGGTGCCCTGTCACTTCTCATCCATCACAACCTCACACCCCAGCAATCTGGCGCTGCGGAGCCTGGGGAGAACTTTCCAGGACCACCGTACCATTCCCAGCGGGTTTGTATGCACGAACGTCAACTGAGAAATGGAGACCCCAGACAGGGAGGAAGAGGCACAAAGGAAGGACCCACACCTACCCCTACAACGGGCTTTAACGTTCTTCAAAACCTTAGCAATAACTTCCTCTGTGCTTTTTTTATAAACCTGCCTATTATCATGACTTAATGGATATCCTTAAGGTGCTGAATTACTGTAAAACAAAAGGGAGGCAGTGGAGACCTCAAACAGGGAGAGAGCCAGGAGACAGTTCCCTGGCGAGGGGTGTTGATTATTCCCAACGGGAAAGTCTTGAGACTTTCTGATGACAACGGCAGTTCAGGAGGTAGAAGGAATAGGTCCCTAAGGGATATCAACTCCGGAGAAAGCTGTGTCACCCTCATTTCCTTCTACAAAGCCAGACCGCCCTCACCTTCCCACCCCTGAAGCGCTGTCGCCCGGGGAAGAAGCAGACACCTCCCAGCTAACTGGCCCAAGCGGGTCAAACTTTGGGATCGGCGTCCTGCTCCGTGTTGTGGAGCGCAGGGCAAAGGGGAAGGATTGGTGCTGGGAGGAGCGGAATCTCCGTGATCTGCCAGAGGAAACAGCACAGACTCCAGACAGCAGAAGCGCCGGGATTTCCATGCAGCTGCCACGACAGGTGACCGGGCCCGCTCTGCAGACACCCGGCTCGCCCCGGGGCTTCGCGGAAGGTGGGGCGGGCGGGCTGGGGAGCCGGGCCCGGCAGGGGAGGTGGCGGCGCAGCCGGGGAAGCCGCTCGGGCCCGACGCCGGGGAGGAAGAGGAGGAGCGCAGCCCAGTCTCCCCGGGGAAACCGTTTTCAGGGATTTTCTGTCTCCACAATTAAGAAAAAAAAAATGGCTCCAAGCCAAACGCCTCCCGTTCTCACACACACACCACCCCACACGCACGCCCGCCCCGCGCTCCGCTTTCGCCCCATTTTCTCACACGGGGAGACAAAAGGCTCCCACAGACAAGCAGCGGCCACGGCCGCCGGGCCCGGGTCAGACGCCCCTTCGCGCCGCCCCCTCCCGAGCCCCCCGCAGCCGCCGCCCCGGCCCCCGCCCGCCGCGCCCACCCAGCCAGTCGCGCCGACCCGGGGGCCCGCCGCAGGGGGACACACGCCCGGCGGGGCAGGGACGGCGCTCGAGCCCGCGCCCCCTCCCGCGGGACTGCGCGGCGCCCGGCCCGCCGCGGTGGCGACAGCGGCCCCGCGCCTGCTCACCTCAGGGCGGCAGCCGCCGCGGCTCCTCCGCGCCTCTCCGCCTCCAGCAGCCCCGCGCCGCCGCCGCCGCCTCCCCCCGCGTCTCGGCCGAGTCTCCGCCTCCCTCCACCGCCGCCGCCGCCGCCACCGCCGCCGGCCCGGCTGCGCGCCACGTGACCGCGCCACGTGACCCGGCGCGGCTAGCGGCGCCTCCCCGGCCTGCGCCCCCGCCCCGGCCTTCGCAGCCGACCGTTGGGGCCCCCCGGCCGCCCTCACGCCCCGGCCCTGGGCTCGAGTCCCCACGCCACGCCGCGGGCCCTCCACCACCGGCCCGGGCCACGTGCCCGAACCCCCGCGCCACCGCCTCCGGAGACACCCGGCCCGCCACGTTGCGCGCGGTGCCCACAGTGCCCACAGTGCCGGGCCTAGGACTCCAGTCTCCTGGCTCCGGACGGCCTCAGCACCCGGGCACCGCGCGGTCTGAACTTCGTTTGAGCCGGAAGTGGACGTCCCAGTCCCATTATGTCTTACATGGAAAACCGCTGCGAGCACAGAGGCGCGGGCACCGCCGACCCGCGCAGCTCCCCGAGAAGACGGTCACCCGAGTGGCCACGATGGTGACATCGCAGATAGAGGACCTCATCTTCGATTGTCTATGGAGAAAGGACCGGATAGCGTCATTTTAACTCAGGGAAGAACAATTCACAGCCTTCCCCGCTCCTGTTAAATGGATGTCCTGCTAACAACGAAACTTGATCACCTCTCCTTCTACCAGCTTGTGCAAAGAAATAGCATAGCTGATCGTGCGACTCTTCTTCACACGGTAGTTTAAAATAAAAATTAAAAACAGACAAGAGCAGCATCCTTTTTTCCTTGATTTGAAGCAACAGAGGCCCCATATCGTTAGGAATAGCAGCCACCCTTCTGAAAGGGCTCGCTGTTGTTTTCTATTTTGCCTGTCTGCAAAAGTCTTCAATTCCGTTTCAGACTTAATAATTCCTGATTCTGCGAATTTTTATCAAAAAAAAGTTGGACCGAGTTTGTTAAATTCTGAAATTCCATGCCTCGCCTCAGTCTCCTGAGTAGCTAGGGACTATAGGTGCGCTCCATCATGCCCGGCTCATTTGTGAGTTTTGTTTAAGTGTAGGAATCTCGCTTTGTTGCCCTGGCTCATCTCGAACTCCTGGCTCCAAGTGATCCTCCTGCCTCTGCCTTCCAGAGTTGTGGAATTACAGGCATGAGCCACCACACTTGGCCTACTTTTACAAATTTCGACAAATGCCCCCTAGACTTTATTTTTAAAAAGGCAAGCGTGGCGTGTAGTCCCAGCTACTCTGGAGCTGAGACGGGTGGATCCCTGGAGACCAGGAGCTAGAAGGCTGCAGTGAGCTGTAATCATGCCTGTGAGCAGCCAGTGGACTCCAGGCTGAGCATAGCGAAACACGGCTCTAACCAAAAAAAAAATTAAATTTTAATTTAAAAGTAACTAAAACAAGAATAGTTCCCTCATGTTTGAATGGACATAAATATAATGCATTTAACTGTGGTCCCAGCTACTCGGGAGGATGCGGCAGGAGAATCGTTTGAACCCTGGGAGGCGGAGGTTGCAGGGAGCCCAGATTGAGCCACCGCACTCCAGCCCGGGTGACAGAGTCAGACCCTGTCTCAAAAAGATAATACACACACACACACATATATATATGTATGTATAATGCATTTAAGTATTAAGATTATTTGATAATATTTAATAAGAACTCTGAAACTTAATTTTGAAAACTTTAAGAAATAAAACTACATTTACATTTTAGAGTACCTTAAATAAAAGATAATCTTCACTCAATATAATCAGTATTACACTTCAGTTTAGTGCTCAATATTATGTTAAATACTGTGGGGAGATCAAAGGAAGAATACCATATGGCCCTTGCCTTTAAAATTTACAATTTCTAGACAGAATTACTTTAAAATATACACTTTTTTTTTTTTTTAGACAAAGTCTTGCTCTGTCACCCAGGCTGGGGGTGCAGTGGTGTGATCTCGGCTCACTGCAACCTTTGCCTCCCAGGTTCAAGCACTTCTCCTGCCTCAGTCTCCGAAGTAGCTGGGATTACAGGCACCACCACCACACCTGGCTAATTTTGTATTTTTAGTGGAAACAGGTTTCATCATGTTGGCCAGGCTGGTCCTGAACTCCTGACCTCAGGTTACCTGCCCACTTCAGCCTCCCAAAGTGCTGGGATTACAATCATGAGTGACCGTGCCTGGCCAAAATATATACATAATATTTTTCAAACCCTTTCTTTTCTCTCTCTCTCTCTGTCTCTCTCTCTCTCACACACACACACACACACACACACACACACACACACACGGATCAGGGATCAGCATTTATTTGCCTGGCCTGGAGCAAAGCATGGAAAATTTGACCCTTGATGTCAGACTAATGAGTTAGCAAAAGCATTAAAGATGAACTTTCTTGAATCAATAAATACAATCTATATAACCGTATGAAAACTGTAACAGATACCATCAAGACTGAATAATACAGGTATTCTTTCTGCAAAATGAAAAAAAAATACTAACCTTGAAACTACTCTTCTACTAATACCATAGTTTTCCATAAGGCCCACAAGTATAAACTCTCTTTTATCCAAGCACTCCTGGATAAAATACACCCAACTCTCAGCAAAACTGAGAAGTCCCTCAAGTTTGTTTTCTGCCTGTGTCATTTCGCATAGTGTCAGTGGTTTTGTGAATGTCTTTGGAGCAGGTATCTTTGCTGAAGTCCTGGTTCTACCACTTACTAACAAGTGACAAGCAAGAACAATATTCCAAACACTGTGTCTTTAGCCATACTTTCAAAAAACAATTATCTGCCTCACAGGGTTGTTGAAATAATCAAATGAGATAATTTATGTAAGCTATATGCCTGACACACAAGAGGTGCTCAATCAAAAATAATACTTGGGCCGGGTACACTGGCTCATGCCTGTAATCCCAGTATTTTGGGAGGCCAAGGCCGGCAGCTCACCTGAGATCATGAGTTCAAGACCAGCCTGGCCAAAATGACAAAAATCCCATCTCTACTAAAAATACAAAAATTAGCCAGGCATGGTGGCACACGCCTGTAATCCCAGCTTCTAGTGAGGATGAGGCAGGAGAATCACTGGAACCCAGGAGGCAGAGGTTGCAGTGAGCCAACATTGTGCCACTGCACTCCAGCCTGGGCAACAGAGTGAGACTCCGTCTCAAAAATAATAATTAATAATAATAATAATGATACCTACAGCCTGGCCAACATGGTGAAACCCTGTCTCTACTAAAAATACAAATATTAGCTGGCTGAGGCAGGAGAATTGCTTGAATCTGGGGGGCAGAGTTTACAGTGAGCCGAGATTGTGCATCTGCACACCACCCTGGCTGACAGAGGGAGACTCCATCTCAATAATAGTAATAATACCTAAGAACCAGACACAGTGGTGGCATGCACCTGTAGTCCCTATTACTCGGTGGCTGAGGTGGGAGGATCTCTTAAACTCAGGAGTTGGAGGCTGCAGTGAGCTGTGATCAGGCCACTGCCCTCCAACCTGGGCAGCAGAGTGAGATCCTATTTCTGCAAAATAACAATAATAGTAATAGCCAAGTTTTATTAAATGCTTACCATGGACCAAACACTGTGCCTTGTTTGTTCCTATTTTTGCTGTTCTTCTGTTCCTTGCTTCCCTGAGTGGGTGCCTTCTGTCCCCTACCTTACCCCTGCCCCCTTAGGAATCTACTCTTCTTTTCATGTTCAGAAGGAAAATGGTTTAAGGCTTTTAAAAGTCATTTATAATAATCTATTACATCTGTTGTGAATATTCATTGTATATTTTATTTATTACTGAATTTTGTGACTTAAATTGTTCTGTTGAGTTTGCCAGCTGGCTACTTGGGAAGGACTATAGAAAGTTCAAGGATGGAAGATTTGGGCAAAAGTTGTTTTTTTGTTGTTTATTTTGTTTTGTTTTGAGATGGAGTCTTGCTCTGCCACCCAGGCTGAAGGGCGATGGCGCGATCTTGGCTCACTGCAACTTCTGCTTCGTGGATTCAAGTGATTCTCCTGCCTCAGCCTCCTAAGTAGCTGGGACTACAGGCACCCACCACCACACCTGGCTAATTTTTGTATTTTCAGTAGAGATGGGGTTTCACCATGTTGGCCAGGCTGATCTTGAACTCCTGATCTCATGATCCACCCACTTCAGCCTCCCAAAGTGCTAGGATTAGAAGCATGAGCTGCCACGTCCAACTTTTTCTTTTTTTTTTCTTTTCTTTTTTTTTTGAGACAGGATCTTGCTCTCTTGCCCAGACTGGAGTGTAGTGGTGCAAACTTGGCTTAATGCAGCCTCAACCTCCCAGGCTCAAGTGATCTCCCAGCTCAGCCTCCCAAGTAGCTAGGACCATAAGCATGTGCCACCATGCCAGGCTAATTTTTTAAATTTTTTTGTAGAGACGAGGCCTCACTGTATTGCCCAGGCTGGTGTTGAACTTCTAGGCTCAAGCCATTCCTCCTGCCTTGACCCCCCAAAGGGCTGGGATTATAGGCGTGAGCCTCCCAGCCCTTTGGGAGGCCTGCATTTTATACTTCTCTAAAAACACCTTTCTAATTATGAAATGAAAAATGTTGCTGCTTATTTAGAACTCCGAGGCATTTGGGAGCCATTAGGAACGAGATCTGGCAATGGGGACCCTTCCACTGTCCTTTGAAATCCCACAGGTCCAATTAGTCTCATTTTGTTGTGTTTAAACACTTTTAAACACTAGATTTTGGCACCACACTTGAAGAAATTAAAGCGCATAATAACTGCAAAATGGTAATTGCTATAAGAAACAGTGTCCCTCATGTGGCATTCGTGATCATGACGCTGTTAGCTGGCTGTCCTGTAGCCCTAGAGTCAAATTTGGGAAAAGTTTCTTACTACCCTGACCAAGCTCCCAAAAGTTCTGAGATCCATGACCTTTCTTTAAAAGTTACTCTTCGAATAACTTTCCTTTGCATCTGCCTTGGGTCACACGGTGAGCTCAGAGCCAGCTGAATCTGAAAGGCATTCT